GAATCAATAACCCACAACTTTAGTTTAAATCACCACACAGTGTACAGTGTACAGTGTACAGACTCCTAAATTAAGGCTTTCTTCAAAATGGACAACGTTCTCACTTGAACAATGACAATATTTCTTCTTTTCTCAGAAATTGTAATTTTTATGATTAATTGGTTTTACCACCCGTATGCTTACAGACCGAATTGGATGACACTCAGTCCTATATATTACTATTATTGATACGGGGTCTAAGTAATGGTCAGGTGCAAAAACTGTCAGAAATGCATCTGCTGCCTTTTCGTCGTCCACAAGATTAAAAGTGAGAAATATGTATCGTGAAATATTTATCCACGTGAAAATTTTATCCTGATTGCCAGAGGCTCCATGAGTTCCGCTTACTATAACAGCAATGGTAAGTATACAAACCATAGGTAATATTTGCATTACAGTTAATGAGCACTTTTAGTGCACCTTGACCTAATTAAATATCAAAAATAAAGAGTAATTTTGTCTTACCTTTGGGAATTTCGCAAATATAAGCTAATTTCTCAGAGCCATGAATGCCACAAAATAGGCTCTGGTTACCTTTAATAGTCTGCTTGCATATGTGAGCCACAGATCCCTCACAATTTGGCTCTCCTGCCCATTTAGGCATGTTCACAAGTTTTCCGCTCACCCAAGTCCAATTTTCACCTTTTTTTTCTAAGCCAATATACCATTTATCATAACGAGGATTATGGTTACAAGCACGTGAGCAGTTAGACATCGTACTGCGATTTTGAATTTCGTCACCGATGAAATTCCATTCTTCTTCTGTTTCAATGGAGACCAAATCTCCTCCTTGACTTTGGCAGATGCCTCTGTCCGTTGTCCAATTGCCTCCTTTTTTCGTGAATATATACCAAGAGTTTTGAAAAGACATGTTTGAGCATTCTATGAAATAAAAACAATGATAATAAAAATAATGACTATGATGATGGTAATAATGAGAAAACTACAAGGGCAATCAAGGATACAAACAAACCAGCCGATAGACTGGCGTGTCTTTATCATTTTTATAATTATTTGCTTCTTCATCATCATTACGAATTTTTCATTGTTATTATGATTAGCATTTTCATTGTTATTGTAATATTGCATAGCTTGTTGATCAATGTCATTTAAGAACCCGTCCTCTCTTATGCGTTTTCCTTCGAAAAAAGGTGGAAACATTTGAATACGCATGCATATCGTTTTCGTGTGGACAGTTCTAAACGAAGCTTTTTGAAAACGATGACGTTGAATGACGTCATAGTGTCGTGCAACCTCTTTTCCAGGCCTCCCGTCTCAATAAATTCAAAACAAATATAGCAGAAGAGTTTATGGATATGTTTTCGATGCTTAACTGGAGCTTAATATTGCGTTCGTCCAGGCACACACAGATCGATGCGTAAGCAGGTCACATGAAGTCATGTATGTGTTTTGAAGTGTTTTCGTGTGGACATTAAAAAACGCTAGGAAAAGAATAGCAGTATCTCGATTTTTTGGAAAATTCATTTTCCAGAGAAATTTTCATCAGATCAGTTCTAGGAGGGCATACTTTAGCATGTAATGTACTTTATTGGTGAAATGATTATCTACCTTCGGGCATTTCACAAATGAAGGCGTTGATTTCGGACCCAGAAATTTTGTTAAAAAGGCTTTCATTCTTGGATATTTCCGCACGACCTTCTGTCTCATAATCTCGCCATTTCGAAATATTCAGTTTTTTTCCACTTAACCAAGTCCAGGTATTGTTTTTAAATCTTAAACCAATGTGCCACGCACTAGTATTCCAAGAAGAACGTTTTTGAATTTCATCATTGATAAACTGCCACTCTTCTTGAGTTTCGATAGAAACTAGGTAACCTCCCTGATGTTCGCACGCTTTTCTGTTCCTCCACCAATTTCTTCCCCATTTCGAAAATGTGTACCAAGAAGTTTTGAAACGTGTCTCCTGGCATTCTTGTACAAAATAAATAAATAAGTAAATATACCAAAATAAGTAGATTGTATTGATGATAGAAATAGTGATAGTTTTGATGATGATGATGATGATGGAGACGAAGAGTATTGATTATTATATTAACAATATTATTCATAAACAATGAGGATAAAACATTTTACCTCCCTAAAGCAAACATTGAAATGAATCTCGACTTTAAGAATGGAAATTGGGGAGATCTGGGTGGTGGTAGTGTTATTCTTTAAGTTTCATGTTTTGTTTCCAGTTCGTGTTTGGTATCACAAGCGGAATTTCTCCTTTTTTAAGTTCTGTTTTAGGTATATAAATGTTAAAGTTGGAATGGCGCTGTCTTACCTGATCCTTTCCATTGCATCATTAGAGTAACAATGACTGCAGAAGAGGAATAAAATAGACATGTGCATTGATTTTTTGTTGCATTGATATTTGAAACAAATAGAGAAATGTTTCTTGATTTCAAGTGAAACAATTACTAATAAATTAATAAATGTATTTCCACTCGCATGTAACTGGTCTAAGCGTGTGAAGTGACTGGATGGACTCTCACAAGTCTGGCAAATAGGCTCATCTTTCTTGCTTGGGTAGCCAATCAGAACATAGGATTTGCTAATTCAAGAGTGATTTATTATTTTTGCGTCGTTGGAGAAAAAAAGAAATAAAATGCATTGCTTGTTGTCTTGTAATTCATCGAAGCTCAAACTATTGAAAGGATCCTCTCAAGTGTAGCCCATACCAATAAATTACAACAAGAGAAGCCTATAAAAAAAAAGTATCCGGTTTCACTATTTTGCCTCGCAGTAATTTGATGAGGGCTACAAACAAACGGGTAAGATTTCACGTGCCTACCCAGAGTGATGCTGATATTAGTGCCTCTAAGCCTTTCTTTTCCGTACTCTTTTAACTTTAGCTAACCTTTCATGAAGATTCCATCGTTCTTCCAGTCATTCAGAGATCAAAATATGAATTAAACAATTATTTGTTAGTTGAAAAATGTTCGGTTCTTGAAACAGATTTGGATGATGTCTGCAGATAGTTTTATGAGAATACCGTGCGTATATTTTTTTTTAATTTTTGTCGTGCAACATCCGCAAAAGAAAAAGGGGTTGAAAAGTAATGAGAATTGACATGCAAACGATCCAGTTTCGCCTCAAAATTGTCTCGATAGATTGATTAGAAGATTAACCAAACATTTTTGAGCTTAATTGAATCCGAAGTTTATAAATTAACATTTGAAAGCCACATAAAAATTCATTGAAAATAAAGTTATTGAATGCGATGAATAATGACATACTGCTGCAGCCATGGGATCGATGCAAAATATAAATATTGTA